ATGTTAGAAAAATGGCACACAGCTACCCAGATCCCACCCTCAGAAAAGACTGCATCAGCACTATTATGTGAGCTATTTCCATTAGCATTTTTAACTTAGAGTAGCTCCCAGCTGCTCAAATCTTCTGCCTGGCTGGCTTGCAGGAGGATTGAGACTTTGCTGCTGGAGATCTTTTTGAAGACTGACACCTGAAGGCTTCCTGCCACTGTTGCCCTGCATGCAGGGACATGGGGCAGAACTGAACCACATCCGTTCCCCCCATACCACACACCACAGCAGAGCCCTGCTTACCTGTTTGATGAGAGCTGCTGCCTGCAGGCGGCTTTTGCGATCAGCCACCTCATCTTGGAGCTGCTGCCACAACTTCTGGAGGTTGTCTGTCTGCCTCAGAATGTCCTCCTGGTGCGTAGGGTTCTTCTGGCTGAGCTCCCAGCCCCTCCTCATCACATCTGCACATACGGCCCTGTGGGAATTGCACTCCACTTCGAGAGCCTAGCAGAAGGATGGGAGACACGTCAGCAAAACTCACTCCCCACCAGCTGAGAGCAAAGAGGGGGTCCTATTCTCCACTACTGTAACACATACAATTCCAAGAGCCCTGTGTCTTATCCATGCCTATGACTTTTCCCTGAGCCCTGAGATGATTGCCCCTTGGCTCCCCACACACAAGTTACTGTCCTACTTTTTGTCTTTGATGTGAAGCTTGTTATGCAGTCTTCTCTGTAGGAGATACTTGTTTGTCGTCCACCAATTTAGCTGTCTTATGCTTTCCAGAAGCAACAAATACACAAACAGATGCACACAAATGTATATAAAAATTACAGAAGAGGCTCCTGTTTCAGTTTTGTCATGCAGGTTCTCAAGTCCACAGGTCTCTTTCACTTGTTCAGAGTGATTCTTTGCCGTAAGAAGGTAGTAGCTCATATAGCTAAACTTTTGATATTAGCCCACAGCAAGCTCTTAGGGAAAGTGGTAACAGATTTGTAAGCTCACACAATGTTATCCATCCTGTCTGTGGATATCTGTCTTCTTTTCCCTATCTCTTTCTTTCCCCACATCTCTCTTGGCCAGGAAAGGTGGGTGGGAAAACCAAAAAACTAGCAACCTTTTTTCCTTCCCATCCAAAGTGAGCTAATATGGAGCCCAGTGTCTTCACTAGAAGCTGCACTTCTACTCCAGTATACTGAAACATACTCCTTCTCTACCCTTTCCTTCCCCTCTTGGGGAAAAATCCCTATCCTATACATTTTTTAAAAATTCCGATCACTGGTCATGACACTTGAGATAACGAGTGGTTTGACAGCTTTCTTGAAGTGCTGCGCTGACTGAACTGAAGGACATAGATGTTCTAAAACCTTGCTATAATACAAAGACAAGGCACCACCAGCAAAGTAAGATACCTTGTGCTTCTGAATAGAGGCTGTAATCTGGCTGACATCTTTCCCTAATGTTGTCGTTCTTGCTAGCTTCCATTTCTCAGAGATCCACGATTCTTCCTCTTTGCAGTCACGGAAGAATTCAAAAAGCTTCAAAGCATCTTCTAGCTGAGATTTTCTGAAACAAAGAAACAAACAGTATATCTCAGTCAGAATTAGGATCCAATGGAGACAATGATAGCATAATCAAAGAGGAATTTAGAAAATCCAAAATTTGAATGCCTTTAACTCCTCTTTGTCATAGATTAATTTATTCATGGAAGAAGACAAAGGAAACAAAATTACATTTCCCTCTTCCTCTAGGAGATGAGATAATCACATGCTATTCAGACTTCACATAAAGTAAGTCATAATAAATGCTGAGAGTGAAGCTATTCTTCACCTATGAAAGCGAGTGATCTTTTTCAGTCAACTGCAATCAAGACACTCAAGTTGCTTGTGTTATGTCTTTATAAATGGAGAAATGAAAAATTTCAAATGCTGGGAAGCTGTGTCTTCTGATTAAGGGAGTGATTGGCCATAGAAGGAAAAAGCCATAAGCGCAGCCCTACCGTGACTTGCTCACAGCTATAAGGTTCTGATACAGCTGACGAAGCATCTGAACTTTCGCATAAAGCACTTCTGGTTTAACTGTTCTGTCCTTGCTGATTTCTGCTGTCCTCTGGGTGATGTGTGTTAATCTATCATCGTAGGAAGAGATCTGTGAGTCAACCAAATTGTGCTTCTGCAGCAAATCTACTACCTCCAGGAGCTGCTTCCCACAGTCCTGGGAATTCACTAGCACCTGCAAACAAAGTGAGAAACAAAAGGCATTGGCAGAGAGTGCATCCAGGGGCTCAGTACAAAGAAATCCGTTGAAAGGTTCCTGTTGACTCTTATAGCTTTTAAATGTAAAAGAATGATCTCAGCTAGGTGAAGCTGAAAAGCTGCTTAATTAGAGGAATCATACTTTTCTTTCAATTTCACAAGCTAGTGGCAACAATCCAGAGTTTCTATCTACTGCAGTACAAGTAATGGTCTCTTCAAATAAGCATCTGTTTTCACACCTAAGTTATTTCTATTGATTAAGCACTCAAGGTCTCAGAATTGTGGGCGCAAGGAATAGCCCTTTGCTATACACCCATCTGTAGGCAGATTGATTCACAGTCTGTATTTGGAGAATTCTATAATATCCCATTTTATGGTATGTTTTGACTGCAATGTTTTTTTTTGTTTGAGGGACTTACTTGCCTTTGCTATCTAAATAATGAAAATAAGTACTTCATAGTATTTAACTGGTGGCTGATGAAGGTACCAAGTGCTTAAAAGTCTGTCCTCTTTCTAACTGTATCAATGGATACAATTATCAATCCTATTGTAGGATGTTATCTTTCCTTACCTATCTTCTCCATATCCTCAAGCTATCACGGTTCCAACAACATTATTACCATTAGGTGTTCTTTGCTTACTAACATTAGAACAGAAAGATTCATAACTTATGGATAGCTCTTATCTTTAGTTTGAAATTCACAACTTCCTATAGCCTGTTGACTCTTTCAACTTAGGTACAAGGCAACCCGTAGTTGTAAGGATTTTTCTGTCTTTAAATAAGACAAGGCAAGACCAAAGGATGTATATATACTTCCTGCCATTACAAAATCAATATGAAACCAGTTATTTCCTATGCTAAAGAGAAGACTTTGGGCTCTGACACTCTGGTAACACTTGGAAATTCTTGCTAAAAGCAATCACTGTGCATTTACAGTGGAACTTTTCGCTCTCACAAGTTTCGGTACCTGAAAGCTAGACGTATGCCTGAGCTAGTCCCCAACTGTAGAATCACTGGAGGTACTTCCAGAAGGTAATCCAGAAGAATTATGTGGAATGGGAACAGGTTGCTGTTTTATTCTACTTTTGCTTTTACACTTCTAAATTTAGATGAAGATTATCTCCCATCTTTATTTTACTACATAACTTGAACCTGTAGTGCACTCCCTGTAATATCATATCTCGCTTTCTGATTAGGGAGAGCCCCTGTAGCAAAGCCTGTTTCTTCTCATGTAGTTACCTGCAATGATGAACTGAAATGCATAGTTAGGCATCTAAGTAAACATGGTGTATTTTTTCTATAGCTGATAGGTTTGTCTTCTGTTGGGACCAGGCAGTCCCGGGAACATGGGGGCTTTTTTAGGGACACACACTGGTAGCAGTACAAACTGTGTGTCGGTCGAGAGGGCTCAGTACCTGCAGCTCTTTCAGCTCTTCTGTAATGGCATCAATGTCCCTCAGGAGGCCCAGAATTTCCTGCATTGTACCCAGGGAGTGTTGTCGTCTCTGCAGCTGATCCAAAAGATCCTGCCATTGCTTTGAAATGCTGTTTTGCCTACAAAGGAAGGGAGAGAAATGACCAATTTGGACCAAAGACTTTGGGCAGCACTGGGAGATTCTCGGTGCTTGCAGCTTTAGAGGAGCTAAATGAACACACACAACTCTTGCCACTAGTGCAGGAGGACAGGCCATGATCACAAAACAGATCAAAGCAATGCTATTATCTAATTAGTGTGATCACGAGGAGGAATTTTGACTAGCACATCAACTGTCATTGACTTTTTTAATTTAGACATTGTTTTTTATGGATCCTCATACCTGACATCCCACATTGCTTTCATCTGATACAATGGAAAGGCTTGGAAAAAAGAAGTGGTCTTTAAATGGCTGCTTAAAGTAAAAAATTAATCTAAACCATATCATGAGTCACAATCTGATCTCATAAAGAGTTTGGTTTACTCTTTTATAACTGTTTTTCTTAGTTTTCTCACAGGTTTCTGATTTTGTCTGAACTTTGAAAAGCATTGAAATACCACAAGAGAAGTTATTTGTGCGGCATTCTTAGCCATTCCCAAATCAGACTATATTGATACTCAGAGAAGTCATAATTTCTCAAGATTTGCTCCAAACTGGAATCAATCTGAGAAGACTTTGTGCCTTAACTAATCTGTGTGTCCCCAAACAACACACAAACAGAAATGTGTTGATTTGAAAAAAAATTGTATCCCTCTAAGCATTTTTGATGGAAGATAGGATTTTTGGCAGAACAAGTATTTTCATATATAATGAAAATATTCTAAAACTATTTTTCAACAGAAATCAGCCTGAGGGTTTGATCATTCAAGAAAAAAAAAAAAATTTTAAAGATGATGAAGCATTTGTCTTATATGCTGAAACTGTTCACAGGTAGAAGAAATTCCTGCCAGTCCTACTCAAGAAGAGCAGAGCTACAATTCATAGCTACAATTCATTTTCTTCCACCACACCACAGAATTTCAGCTAATTTCAACCTCCACCACTACACAGTCTCATGACTGTCACTCACTTCTTCACGATTTGATCTTTGCCATGATAGTTCTTAAAGATGAAAGCATTTGTCTTATATGCTGAAACTGTTCACAGGTAGAAGAAATTCCTGCCAGTCCTACTCAAGAAGAGCAGAGCTACAATTCATAGCTACAATTCATTTTCTTCCACCACACCACAGAATTTCAGCTAATTTCAACCTCCACCACTACACAGTCTCATGACTGTCACTCACTTCTTCACGATTTGATCTTTGCCATGATAGTTCTCCTGGCTGATGACTGTGGCCATTTCATCCAAAGCTGTGAAGCGTTCCCTCCTGGGGAGTACATCTGCCACAATGGCTTCCAGCTTCTTACTGGCAGCCTCCATCCTGTCTGCGCTCTCCGGCCAGAAGTCCTGCTTCCCAATCACTTTCCTCATGTCTTCCAAGTAGGACTCACGCAGGGCTGCCTTATTCATGAACCTCTGGGCTAGCTGTTCCAGCCTTTCTAGCCTCAGCATCTCCTTCTGCAGTGCTTTTCCCCGGTTGTGCTCTGCCTTTTCCAGGATAATCCAGTGCTTTTCCACATCCTGCAGCATCCTCCCCTCTGGGGGCAAGTATGGCCGTTGGTTGTTGGCTCTCTGCTTGGTCCTGATGTTGAAGAGGTGAGCTTCAATCATGCCCTTCTCTTGATATTTGGGGGGTTTCTCCACAGTGCGAAAGGTCTTGAAGTTGGCCATGAGCAGCCACATTTCCTGAAGAGAGTTGGGGAAATGACGGTCATCCAGTTCCATCACCTTCTGTTTAATCCATTTCAGGAGGTCAGAGACCATCTGCTCATACAGAAGCTTCAAGTCATCTATCTCCTTCAGGAAGAACATGATCTGTGGTGGGAATATGAAGTTACAAGCCACATAAGAAGCAGAACAAAGCAAGGTGGGTGAACAGAAAACAACATCTTCATAAACCAAGCTTAGGATTCAAACAGTTGAATATATGTCAGGAAAATAGTATTTAACAAGCAGGTTGCCACAGTGGCAATTTTATACCAATGTGGTGATATAGCTGTCACATCTGAGGCCAGGTGAAATCCTAGAATAACCTTCCATAAAGCACAGATAAATAAATATTATTTAATGTCTCATTTCAGTTTTTATTTAAGAAAAGGTTAATTTTGGAATAAACAGCATGCATGTGGAGACTGTCAGCAGTTCCTATGCAGGCTGACTAGAAAGCAAGAATCCCAAACTGAGGGTTCAGATTTTTTGTTTCACAATGGAAAAAAACAGATTTTTTTTCCCCCATTCTCCTTCCTAAAAACAAAGCAATCCTATCCCATCTAATATGCAACTACCCCCTCTTAGCTTTACCACCTTAGGCTGCAGGAGACCATCTGACAAGATCCTGGTTCTCTCACATGCCCACAGCAGACTGTGGTCAAAAAGCCCCTTCTCAATTTCTTCTGTTGGAGCTGTTTTTCTTTATATAAATTATTAGAGAATGACTCATAGCCAAACAGGGATTTGGTAAGGAAGTTAACTCTGATTCAATACTAATTTTCCAAGTCCAGGACATATATCTGTTTCATTTGTGGTCTGACCTGCCTTTATTTCAAGTTCAGGTAAACACTGGGGCAAACATTTAGAATGAAATCCGTAATGAAATAGAAAGTGTTAGAATAAAATCATCCTTTCTTTCCATTTTACATTTTTTTCCATCTTTGTCTTTTTACTTTATATTATATTTTTTCCTCCCCCTAACTCAGTAGCCCTCCTGCAGACGTCAGGTTTAATGCTGAACAATGTTGTCTGCCTCTATCATTCCCCTGAGCGCGCCTGCTCCAAACAGGCAGGTTAGTAAGGGTAATTAGTAAGGCAGATAAGTAGGTAATCTGCTTTTACCTACCACAAAGCGCACTTGGCAATGAATAAGTGTCACAGTGTTGGAAGAGGAGTAAAACAGCACCAACCTTTAGTGCAGGAAAAGCAGCCCGTGACATCAGGGCTCCCTTCTGTATTTTCTGCCATCGTACCCAGTTCTTGCTGAAAGATCCTAGCAAATGCATGGTCACCTCACATGGGAGGGGGAAAGGAGATTTACCTCCCTGGGTTGATTCTCTCTGCCATCCTGGTCACACACTTAGTTTGAATGCAAAAGCTTACTTGACACATTCAGGCTTCCCTCCCCAATCCTATTAGTAAATTCAGAGCTGCCTATTTGAGGGGACTAAGGACATGAAGAGATTAACATCTGTTTTGTTCTCCTTCTGAATGTTTGTGTGTGTCAGAAATGCAGGAAGACAGGAACGCAATATTAGAGACGGGCTAAAAAAAGGGAAGGAGGCAAAGAGAGAAAAAGAAGCAGGTAAGTGAAAAGAGAGAGAGAAAAGAAAGAGTAAATATACCTATACAAAATGGAAAAAACAGTGGAGCACAACAAGAACTGAAAAAGAACAGAGTAAGAAATACTCTTTCTGTTTTTTCCCATAATACAAAAGTTATGTCCTATTTGATCCTTATAGTTCCTCTAATACATGCTTGGTGACTCAAGGACCGTTTCAGGTTTATCAGAAGAAATATGATGTCTCCTGGCCAAAATCCAGAGACTCGCGTGTAGACCAGTCAAATCCTACTGCCAACTCTCCTCACTGATGCCCAGTCTTTGTTTGACCGAATTCCAAGTCCTGCTCTCATCTAACACTTTTCTTCAGAGAACATCACTGTTACTGATACATGTTTCGGGATCGTCTTGTTCTTGTCCCAGACCACTTTGTTAGCTGAGCAAGCCCTGCTTTGCAAAAGCTTTTCACCTTGTCACCACCAGGGAAGTCTAGTTTGGATTTTTTGCACGTTCACGCACATGTGGATGTTCATGTAGGACCCATCCTGGGTGGGTAGGTTTTCTGTGGGCTATTTGTTTTGTATTTTTGACAAAACCAGAATAGGTTATTCTGAAGGTAGAAAAGAAATTCTCTCTAAGGAAAGTGGTCTTCAGTGGAACAACCACAAAATTCCTTCAGTTTTCCATCAACAGGATGCAAGTAGTTTTTAATAGAACTCATGATCATATGTGAGACAAAAGGTATGTTGAAACTGAAAAAAACCCTTTTTTTAGCTTTGGGGTTTTTTTCCCCTAGGAGTGTTTCCCCTTCTTTTGCACTCCCTCTTTTTTCATGTCTTTTTATTTATTTATTTATTTAGTACCTGACTAAGGAGTTCAAAAGAAAGGACGAGGATTTTCACAGGAAATAAAAATCCAAAGTAGTCTCATAGAATAAGGTATCATCTTTCCTATTAAATCAGAAAATTGTTGACTAGATCTGCTTTTGCCTAGCAGTAATCCTCCCAAGATTAATGAGATCTGTATGCCTCAAGCTGCCTTGGAACCACATCAGTTCTCAAACAGAAACTGTGAGGTCAAAAAGGGATTCATTTTCAGTGAGATAAATACAATCCCCTTTAGAGATCAGAGAGTCTACAGACACCTCTCAAGATTCAAGTGACGATAAGAGGCCTTTCAAAAGGCTATGCCATTTGATTCAGTTCAAACGATCCTGAAGTTGAGCTCGCACCAAAAAAAAAAAAATTCCAACATAAATTTAGCTTTATGTATTTAACTTTTAACTTCTGAAGTTAGCAATGCACTTACTTTGGTAAGTCGCTTTTGTATTGTCTGTCCTTGTTTCAGTCTGGAGAAGTAGTGGTAATAGAGTGACACATAAGTCATGATGGATCTCTCATCTGGGTAGGGTACTGCCACATCCTCAGCATCAAGCAGTTTGCTGATTCCTAGCTCTTTCTCAGCAACATCGAAGGCATTGTTCAGGTTTTTGATGGGCTGGTCCTGCCGCAGTGAACTATAGTGGATAAGATCAGGCCTGGGCAAGGAGAAGAACAGGGCGTGGAGGGGAAGAAAGATTTATGTTTGTCATAAGTTCTTTCAGATTATAAACCATAAACTGTTTATTAGACTAAGGAATGTGACATTAACGCTGACATTACTTTGACCCTGAGCTTCATTCAAGAGCATCACCCCTTGCCTAGATAACAGGAAGAAAATTGTCCCTTATGAAATTGAAGTACCACTCCCAGCAAATCTGCCCTTCACTTATTTATCCTCTTCACTGATGGGTGAAAACCAAAGCCCACTAGAGAGGCAATTCTGAAAAGGGAGGTGACTCCCAGCTGGGTAAATTAGAGGATCCCGCAGTGGTATCCTGCTAGAACATTCAGCAGAACTGTTAATGGGAGAAGAAATGTTCAAGGTTCTCCCAAGTGGTTTCTCTCTTCTGCTTTGGGCTGTTTTCTTCACACTTTTTCAAAGGGCCAGAGAAAGAGACTGAGAAGTTGTTACTCTGTTGCAGTTGAACCAGAAGGTATACATGCTCACAAAGTTAATACAATAAAACCAGTCTCTAAAATGACGACTTTTGAAAAGAGCAATGGGAACATGATTGAGGGGCTAAGACCAAATAATGGGCAGCATTGTTCAAATGTGTGATATTCCCTTGGAAATTCGATTTTATGCCCAACAAAAGGAACTACCAAACAAGAGCTTTTGGTCCTTCCTTCCTCAGAGAGAGAATATCCATTTAAGAAAGGAAAGTCTTCAGTGAGAAAGGGCAAAGGGAGAACTTGACAGTTTCTCGACAAATACTTGTAATTCAGACCCTGGAACAACTTGTGCCGGAGCTAGAAACAGCAATGAGCAACTCCTCCTGAACTGATCCATCAGATCTTACCTGTGAGCATGTATGAGTGCATTGAAGGCCAGCCCATCACTCCAGCTTTTGGAGAAGTCCTTCACATTCACATTGGAATAACTGGCAGTTTTATGCTGACACCAGAGTAGTAAGGCTTCATTGGCAAATAGAACGTCAGCTCTGCCTCCAAATTCTTCCTGTGAAGAGAGCAGGGAAAAGAAAAATCAGTGTGAACAATCTATGGAAGTAGCATCAGTGGGTTTACGCTTATGTTCCCAAAGATCACTTTGTATTACTTCTGCCCTATTCACAAATCACCTTAAAGTCACGACTTGCAGACAGAATCTGCCATGAAGGTAGACTGATTTAACATGAAAGTAGAAGTTTTCTATTAAAGTAAAAGTGAATTGAATGAACTAAAAAATTATAACATGAAATGCAGGTGTTAAAAAGTTTTTAAATGTTTCTCTTCTGCAACGTTTGTAGAAATCAAGTGGAAAGCAAAGCTCAGTTTGTTTGCTTCCTTAGCTGTGAACTAGAACTCAGAAACAAATATAATGTATCCAGGTCTAATGTTAGAAATTATTAACTTTGATTTCATAATACCTTCATAGGATCTTATCTTTCATGTACTTAGAGTACATATTAAATAATTTTAAAAAGAATACTTTTCTTCAGAGAAAGAGCAAAGTAGAAGCATGCAGTTCAAATCTAGAGAGAACTGTCATCAGAGAAATTCTTTCTGGAGTCAAAAGCCAGTAAAAAGTTTGTGGAAGAGAGTAAGGAACATAGATATCCTGTCTACCTCCAAGTTACTGTTTTCTGTCTGAGAAACTATAAAATGGATTCAATTGCTTTTAGAAATAGCTGGCTGAGTAACTGGGTAATATTACAAGACCTGCATGATCAAAACGGGTGGGGAAACATCATCAGAATGATCCTTGCTGGCCTGAAACTCTACAAAGTCTCTGAAATACTCTAATCAGGCAAAAAGACAAAGACACTGTTTTACCTTATCAAGTTTGATAGACGAAATCTGAAATCGAAGTATAATGATCCAGATAAGTCCCAGGATTAAGGTTCTGTCACCATCTACGATATTCTCAGGACCAATCACTTTTACTTGTACCTGCTAATAAACCAATACCCATTCAGCATAAAAGTACTCATGTCCTGCTCTCTGAAGGAGGTATCTGTGTAACAAGCTGCTATTGAAGAGGGTGTTCAGGCTGTTTTCTTACGGAAACAGGTTTTACGTGATGTCTTCATTTGTCTATATACCTGCGAGCTCCCATGTTCACCCCCTAGCTCTCACGTGCACCAAGGATGTGTTTCAGCAAAAGCCTGGCAGAGGGATGGTGGTCTCAAAGATTTAAAGTTCCTATAAGGGTTTTGAAAACTGGTGGTTAAGGAGAGGAAAGAAACACAATTCAGCGCTCCTTTCCTCCAAAGGAGTGACAGCAGGGCAAACTCAGAGATCATCTCCTCTATCTGGTCTCCAGTCAGCTAGTCAACATATAGTTCTTGGGCTCACCAAACAGTACAAACATCCTACTAAACAAGCCATGGCTGCCTTCTCCACTATTACTTGAGCAGCAAGCAGGGTTGTAGTTTATGACAACAAGGCGGTATCTCCTCAAGAAGTCTGAGCATGCTATACTGGCTCCTGCTACCTGCATGATCCCCTCCCTGGAGGTTGGACTCATGTGACAAGTGCATGTGACAAGTGATGGTTGGCTGGTCCAGCTGGCAGAGCCTGGATGTGCACATACCACTGGGCCTTACACGGTGTGTACCCTTAGCAGGCATATGTCAGCTGGAGCCCCGTGCTGTATTGCATTTATTTTGTAATTAGCAAAAATCCAGACATTATATACTTTCCCACATCTACTGCTATGAAACCCCTCTGCTCCTTTGGATTTCATAGCACAGAGTTTTGTGTGATGATTTTCCAGAGACGTCTACAATAAATTGTTTGCTTGGAAAAGAAAATAAATTACATACTAATTTGTAGCTGAAATGAGGATGCACAACTGGAATAAATAAAACCACTGCAATGACTTGCTGAAACTGTTAGAATCGGAGCTCTAAAAAAATCTCCATTTTTATACCAGGTAGCTTCACCTTTGCCTAATGATGTTTGCTCTCCCCCAACATCTGGGAAAACACAACATCTACAAAGATATAGAAATGAAGCATGTTTTTTCATTTAGGCGTGACTTGTTTTGGGGGAACATTAGCTGTTTATAAGTCATGTTACACAAATAAAGAAATTCAAATCTGATTACTTTTTTTTTCTTTTAATAATACCCCTGGCCTGTCTTCAAAGAATATCTTACTGTGTATTAGAGGGGGAAATCATAATGAACATAATTCTATAATTAGTTAGTAACATACATAAGCTATTGTGATCTCTAATATCAATATTAACTTACCTTGGATTTCAGAAATGTGATGGCTTTGCTGTTGTTCTCTAGAAAATGCACTCTCATCTTTCCCCGGTTCGGTCTGGGCAAAGCTTCTCCAGAGAGCAGCTCCAGGAGTTGCATGAGAGAGATGCCATCCTTCAAGTCTGTGTAAATATCTTCTATCTCAACCTTTACCTGTGAAGACCCGTCAGACAATACAGACTCTGGCTGAACATTTGGCCCACAGAACACTCTACTTCTAATACTAAACAAACAACACATTCTTGCTGTTTCACGGAGTCTGCTGTATGTCGGTGCATATAGGCGAAAAGTGATGAATCTTAATTCACAAAAAATGGATTTGCAGGCGGACTGACATTATTTATGAAAGTAGGCTGAAGTAAAAAAAACAAACAAACCCACAACTGGCAAATAAAGAAAAAAGGAGATTTTGAAAAATATTAAAAAGTTCAGCATTTTCAAAATCAAACATTTTGGAAGTACTGACATTTTCTATTTCAGTTCAAATGAATCTTTTCAACTTTTTATTCTGAGCAATGCATTTCATTTAAAAATTGAGCTGATAATCCCATTCAGTGACTCAGTTCTTACTCCATAGTCTCAACAAAGTCTATTACATCCTGCTTAGACCTGTGCTGTCACCATATTTTTAGCCAGAGTCTCACACTACGCAAAAGATTAAGATCTTTTACAAAAATGTATTTCATTTCTGCCAGTAGTGAGGTCACCCAGTGCTTAGGTGATACAACATGACATAGTGTGTACTCTGACCTAACAAGAACTTGCCTTGGGTGTTTCCTTTTGGCCTTATGCCACTAGCCATCGAGAAGTGACATTAAAACCATACCACACACCCAACAATAATTTACTGTGATTTTGAAATCATGGTAAATAATCTTTTTGTCTTCAGGGAAAAAAAAATTCTTAAGTTAAATAGCAGCTTTTTTTAATTCAGAGAATAGTTACATGTAGGGGAAAAGAAGGACAAGTAACAGATACGCACTTTTTCATTCCTGACCAATTATTAATCAGTTTAACAGATCTTTTCTCCAGGGAAAGAAGAAAACACTGAAAGTATAAAAGCAACTCAGAGAGACTTTAAGTCTGTACTGTGTGTGGAACAAGAATTTACAACTTTCTCTGACTGATTATCTCCATGAAAAACTCCCTGTTTAGTTGCCAACTTTATTTCTTTTTGCATATTAAATAAACTTAAAATTCTGCCTACGGTATATTACCATAAAAAAAGTTAAAGCTGTTCTATTCTGTGACACTTCTATAAATGAAGAATAGTTCCATTTAAATTTGTAAAGAGACAGTCTTCATATATCTGCTTTATGCCTCAGCCAGCAATAGTTTTAATAGCTTTGTTGCATCATTCTTCCCATAAAGATACCAATCACAGATTGCTTAACGAATTCAATCCAATAGCATCCTTAGTGCCAGACTTGAAGTAGTCAACAGTGCAACTGAGAATACTGCAGTGTGCTGTAGCATGATCCAATCACATTAAAGTGTGTGTTGAAAAGCTGAGACTACATTGCTGGGAAGACCTAGATAAGATGTCAGTCTCTGCACTGTTTCTTACCGTATATGGTTTGGAAAGCTCTCGCAGGCTTTTATGATACATGAACAAGTACTGTGCAGGCAGTTAAGACTGGCATTTTAATCTTTGAACTTGAAGGTGTTTTTAAAATGAGAAAGTATATGTATTTATCTGGAGATAAACAAATAATTTGCTACAGCATAAAAAACTAACTTTCTGCAGGTGGCAAAATGAGAATGTGTTTTGCAGTTCTTCTCTCACGGTAAGAAAAATAAATTTAAAAGTTTGTTGTGGTCTGAGGCTGCCTTTGCACCAATCACCAGCTTAAAACATTACACTGAAAAAAATGCATCTAGTACTGAAACATCATATAATAGTGATGAGGTAGAATGGAACCAAGAGACCTTGTCCTGCTTGGTGTCGCCAAGGTCCATTTTCATTAATATCAACTACATTAATATCAACTACAGACTCTGGAAAAGGGAATTGGTTTTGGATGATGTAATTCCCTACTGTGACACAGCTACATCATTTGTGCCTGAAATGAGTTTATCTGCAGTAAGCCTGGAGACTTTTGGAATATGTTGGGGTTACCTTGCACACACAAATCAACTGTACGCTAGCTCTGAAGCTTTTTGGAAGTCTGAGGCTTACTGAAAACAAACTGGTCTATACTTGCATGGTAGTATGTCTGAAATTGCTACACTTAAGGCAACTTTTTCAGAGACATTGAGCGGCAAATCAAGCTGGACTGATAAGGCAAAGCAGAAAGTCTTAAATTTTGGCCAGGCAATTAAGAACTGAGCATTGTTTGGGGAAATCCAGACACTTTACTTATAGGAAAAAGAAGAGCAAATAAAGATCTTCCTCTGAAATGATCACCAAGATACAGTGGACATCACTATATGACAGGGTTATAAAGTCTACAAAAGTGAACCCTAATTTCAAGGAAGACTGGTAACATGGACAATGGAGACAGATGTAAGGTAAAAGATACAGGCTGGAGCACTCTGGTTAGTCAAAGCCTTCCTTGCTTGCATATATGTGTAATGACAACACTCAGGAAAAATATGTAAAAAAAGAACATAAAAAAAGAATACAGAGGGTGAAATAAACTAAAAAACAGAAAAAAATCCCCAAATTGAAGGAGCTACCTACATTATTCCTGAAGAAGACATTGTTCATCCAGTTGGTGAAGGTTTTCTTTTGCATGGACATACGCTGCTCCTGCAGCTTTTTGATATGATCTTTTTCATATTCGGTACCCATGGTCACCTAGGAAGTCAGAAACTCCAGTGAGGTGCTCAGTGCTGAAGAGATCTGCCTGGTCAGCTAAAAAAGCCAGTAACATGCCCAGTGTATGTAGGAAACCCAGCCCCAACAGATACAAGATTCAATACCACACCCAGTATAATACCTTAATTTCCTTTTGCTTGTACTTTGCACTTTAATTTCACTCAACTTTATTTTTAACTTACTTGAGTTCTCCCTTTTAAAATGCTTCTCTAGTTTCAGGGTGAAAATGTGACATGTACCTGCGCAGCTTTACTTTCTTTCTTTCAGTCTCTCCCCAGTCACTTGATCCCATGAGAAGCACCATGATCTGAAAGCTATCAATAACTTCCTTGGGTGTGCTGGAAGCACATGACAGAGAACTGATCTTAGATCCTGTCAAAAGAGGGATCTGCAAATCACTTCCAATGTAGTGCTTGAAAGTGTGTTATGTTCTCTGGGGACTGGTTGAGACGCTGCTGTTGGCTTTCAGACCACAGTATTTCCAACAGAAATCAAATAGCTGCTTAGAAAGGAAATGGAACCAACTTGGTTCTTTCCTCTCATGAGGAGATGTCACTGTAAGGATGGTGCCACAGGTTCATAATCACATGGAAAAGGTCCTGGGCTGGAAGTCGGGACGTGTTATTCCTCTTCCCCAGGCTATCACAGACTTGTCTGCCTCATCCATATCAGTGAAAAATCAGGCTTGTAATTCATCACAGCACCCAAGCTGAACATTCAGGAAGATTAGAAAGGAGGAGTCTTCCCTTTAGAGTTTGTGACACAATAAACTGGATTTCAGCTTAACTGAACAACTCTGGGCATCATTTGGCTTACGGTGTAAATCTATAACAGCAGTGACCTTGCTGTTATGAAGGCAAGAGAATCACTTAAAAAAAAACCAAACCAGTGTAAGATCCATAACTACAGACATCTTTAGTGACCAAACATCATCTGCTTGGACTACTGCCATAATTGTAAGTATTACCTGGATATCAGCCTAGCTGTGAAACCAAGAAACCTGTTGTAATGGTGGAAGAGGAGAGAGGTGTCTGCTGCTGTCAACCCACTGCAAAGAGAAGGGAATGAAAAATTAACAAACTGACAAACTGCAGAGGTGTGGAGCAGGGTGACCTGCTTCCCAAATATACCGTGTCCATTTTGTGAAGGCCCAGTTCTGAGCTATCCTGGGCTCTGTGCCCTTTTAATTCATTAAACATAAAATACTGAAAAAAAAAAACATTATCTGTCCTAGTGTGAGAAGACAGCAATAGGGAACTAGCAACAGCAGCCACTGCAAATGGGAAGTTGCTTGCCTGATAGTTTTCCGTGCTCTAATAAATATGAAGAATGTTGCCATTTTACAAGATGAAAAGGTGTGGGAAATGCAGAAGCAATGATTTGTTACTGCATTTTCTATTTTTTTTTTTTGGGGGGGGCAGATGTTTCTTAACCCCCAGTGCTTGACTTCTGCAAAACAGGGACAGCATTGAAGCCTGACAGTTCAGCAGCAACACAGGGAAGGATCACGACCATAGATGAAAACCTTAAGAAAGGAAGAATTTAGCAAAGTTTGAAATGGAACTGTAAAGAAGATCCTCACAATATTTTCTGACCTTTTGGGCTAGTTCAGCACTGCCTACTTTCTCCATCTGGAGAGCAGATATTCAAAGAATTGCCTTTCCCTGCCAGAGGTGTGATATTAACTCACTCTCATGTAATAAACCCATACAGTTAACCCATACCATAATGCCATTTCTGAATTTGCCAAATGGTTCTCAGAATGTCTGCGGGGTCCTTTTTTTAAAAGGGTTGTTATCCAAGCATTACAGCCACCCTGAACAATGATCAAACTGATTTCATTTAGGTGCAAAGGAAGCTTATTTGTTGAGCTATTGCCTCACACAATAGCTCACCTGTTTTATTAAATTAAGTTAGAAATGCTCCCTGCATTGCTAGATGATTACCTGAAGACAGATCTGTAATAGATTATCTGCATTTGCAGGATGCAAAGGCAGTGCTAAAAGCCAAATCTGGCTATAATGATACATTACAGAAAAAAGATCAAAGAACGTTAAAAAAAATGGACTTACTCGGGTTTGGAGGAACTCCTTTCTGACATTCAGCAGCTGGTCATTCTGGAGAATGACTTTCTGTTGTAGATCCACTTGTATTGCTATGTTCAGCTCGCTGTTTTCATGCAAAATGACCTTTGAATTCAGGAACAGAGACCAAGTATTTATGGTCTACCTATGAACCTTTCATCTGATCTGAAGGAAATAACCCATTAGAACACAAGGAGTGAAGGTTGTCACAGGCCTGGTCTAATTCTTACACTCAAAAATAATGTATGAACAGCACCAAAATTGCTATAAAGCAGTGAAAATAGTCATCCACCATGCTGATGCTTTTGTAAAGAGCATCTTTCACAGTCTCACTGAAGGCTCTGACTGATCACAGGCTGCTTTTCTAAAGGAATTCTTACCTGGGAAATAGAACCTGATAATGGAGTGTGAAAATGAAAGAACAACAGAGGATACAAAGATCAGAGCAATTCCCAAGCGGTTAAATTGGGATATGGCACATGAGAAGGTGAAATTGTGAAGTGTTAGGAATTTGCGAGTCACTGCTTTGGGGAAGCTCATGTGCACAGATACCTGCTGCTGGCGGGGCAAACTGGGATCAAGCTGGCAGTGCCAGCTGCTTCCAAAGTTTCTGAATTTGTGGACTTCTCATTAATAACAAAAGGGAAAATAATTCTGGTAACTTATATAGCAATGAGTCCTTTCTGTCACTTACAAGGTCGCACAAGCACAGAACGTATTGACCTGGCATCATTGCTGGGAACCAGAGGGTTGCTGCTGGGAATCACCGCTAGAAAACGGGCAGGCATCTGAAATCAGAAGCTGTAAATGAAGATGTCCAGCTCAGAGATGAGGTAAGGGAATACCAGTCTTTTCCCTTCTGGCAAGTGTAGTTTAGTTAGCATCCAGAGGTGATGGGAGGAAACACAAAAGAAGAAGTGAACAAATCCCCCAAACCTCAGTACAGATAAAACTTTATCAACAAAATCTGTATCTTCGTACGCACCCTAGACAAATGTCATACACAGTGTCACATAAGACAGCTAAAAATAAAAAATTGAATACATATATTACAGCTATTACTCAAAATATTCCCTCCATATTCCTGGACTTGTGTTCACCAGCCAACTACTACAATGTAATTCTTAATGATCATTAAAAGGGAATAGGATGACAGGAGGAAAGGAATATAAATTCAGCAACGTTTTACATCTCTTCTGTAAGCTCATTGCCTGGTTGTAATTCCACCCTTCTCTTTTCTGTCTTGCTTTTAGTTATACCTATGTTCTTCTTCTAAAGGTAGGATTATAGGCAGTTGGCTTAAATCTGGTACAGGTTGACTAGGTTGTGTGTGTTGAGAAAATGTCCTTGGCTTCTATCAAATAGAAGGCAGAGGACCAGTAGGTGAATTGGCCCTGGATGCAGGCATTTCTTCCTATTGCAAGTTAATTATTATCTAAATGATTAAGTGTGTGAAACACTGGCTTTGCTTTTTATGATGATACAAAGCAATCAAAGATGTGGTATAAAATTTCATTAACTCCTGAGTATCTATCTCCATCTGTAGTATCTATCTACAGTTCAAAGTTAAAATGGTGGATGCTTATGTGACACCGATAAATAAAGCCATTTCCTCAGTTATTCATATCCTAACAAGGTGAGAGGAAGGGCACAACAATATTTGTGTGCAGTTTCCTGGAGGGACCAGGAAAAAATCACCCCTCCAGGCTAATTACGAGCCCTCTCTTGCTGCCTTTGCAGAAAAGGGGAGCCTTGCCACCGACCTCAGGAAGGAGGAAAAGGGCCCGAAGAGCACCCTTCCCTTGCTCTGTTTTCAGTCTGGAGCGGTTTTTCACAATGGCAGCAGCGTTTTCTTGTTTCTTAACAGAAAGGACCCTGATGTGGGATTCCCTTCTGCAAAGTAGCAGCCACGTAAGACATGTTAGGTTTTTTTAGCACCCTTTCTTATCTGCCCACAACCTTGTTCTGCCTAAGAGGGAAACGGAGACCATGGAGATCAAACAGACCTCATGCCCAAGCAGTCTGGCTTGCAGCCCCAAAGCTCCTCTGCCCTCAGCCCTTCCCCCACTGCTCTTCCACTCCTGGCAACACCATGTAAAACAAAGAGGGATGTGACACTTCCTTTCTACCTGTTTGAAATTTTATTTGGTTTTTTTGAAACATAGTTGTCCTCCTCCTCCCACAACACGTATGTGAATTCCCAGCTCCTCTCTGAGACGGAAAGAAATGTTTAATCCCCATCGCAAAGAGCATAAAACCAACAGTCACAGGACCAGCAGAGGGTTGCAGATGCTGAGTTTGCTGCTCACACTCCCACCCCTGACCTGAGTGAGGGCTGATAGCCATGAGCTTTCCCAGGACAGCAGACCCCTGGTCCTGTGGAGGTCCTGCCCTGCTCTCCAGGTGGCAGTACTGGCTTGCCCCCGTCATTGCCCTCACCCACTGGGATGGAGGAGTCTGCCAGAGGGGAATACATTTGCACAGGTGGATGCAGATGCCTTTGTGTGCCAGTGTCCCTACGTAAGGCCATTCACAGCTGACAATCCTGTAACTAAATGAGCCCTTCATTGTACCAAGCTACTACATCCATGCTCTGAGCTGCCACTGAGCAAAGCCAGCTCCAATTTAAAAGCCATGTGGCCATACCCATGCCTGCTCTTGCAGAGGACTGAGTTTATTCACATGGCTCAGGTGAAAGGTTTGGCACAGCCTGTCACCCTCCATTACATATGTTTTGCATACACACATTCCTGAAGGTACATGAAAATCCTGTCTGATCTCTGCTAAGGAGAAGGTTCCCTAAATCTCAGAGAAAATAAGTTTGTTAAGTGCAAACACATGCATGACAGCTCAGCCTTCTACCCCCCACTGTGTCTCCAGCCACGTTGC